AAGTAACTACCCTCTTCAATTTTCCCTCTTTATTTTCCCTCTTTATTATTGAGTAAATGGCCATTTATGTAATGGCATTTATGTTGTGGGCGTTTTGCATAAACAGCCATTCCGAAGAGACCCAACTTTGGCTATAAATACAACACTATTCTGCTCAGAATTTTAACTACAATTTTCTGAGTTTCCTCTCCTTCTTCTGCATACTTTTAGCATCAAAACAAAGCAAAAAGTAAGTGTGATTTGCTACCGAACTTTGTGTTCGCTGAAACACTGAGGTTTGAAGTACCACTACACCAGTGTGTAATTCGTTCTATCCTGGGAGGAAATAATCCATAACCTTGGGTACTAGGAGGGGATTAAATTTCTTAAGGAAACACTGTGAATTCAGTGGGCTCGAATTGGTTTATGTCATTTCTGTTTATATTCATTACTGTTTATATTCATTTATATTTCCAGAATTTATTTTACAAATACAGTGTAATAACAATTTAATCCCCTCATTGTTGCCCAATGTATACGGATTAATTCATCCCAGGATAGAACGGTATAACTATTCTGTGATAGTGGCACTTCAAACCACAGAACTTCAGCGAACTCAACAAACAGAGCAAATCACACATGACACTTATGTTTATTTAGAAAATAATGCAACAATGTAGAAAAGAGAAAGAAGATTTCAGATTTTCCATGTCTTAAAAAATGAGGCCAAGCCTCTAAATTTATAGACAATGAAAGGGTGAGATGAAGAGGTGCAATCCAAGAGGTGCCTCTTCCATTTCCCATTCACACCCCCTTAATAAAAACGCAACAGAATATTTATAGGGGTGATGGGCATAAGATTGGCAATTTTAGTAGGCGTTTGGATATAAAAATTGTATTTTTTTTAAAGTAATATTTGGTGTTAAGTTGAAAAATGGTATTTGGAATTTGAAATTGTGTTTGGACATGCATTTCACTTGAAAAAATATTGTAATTTTGTGAGTGGAAAAAAAGTTCTTTGAAAATTTTGAAAAAGTAGTCAAAACTATTTTTTGGTTTTTGAAAATTTTATATTTGAATTTTTCTTAAAAAAAAAAACTTAGCAAAATTTTACGGACAACACATTTTCTTAAAAAAATGAGAAAAAATTTATGGACAAATGTGTCCTATAGCACTACTCTTTGAACAAAATTCTTCTATTTCGGCTGGTATTATACAAATTTAGGAAACATACATGATTGGTTTTATATTAATATATGCCGACTGTCTAAAGAAATTTTATTCTATACAGACTTTCCCTTTTTAGGTTACTGTATATCAAGTTAATTTGTAACGAAGATTTACATGTTAATGCACGTAACTTAAATCTAACTTTTTTAAGCTCCGTCCTTCAGTTTTTTTTTTTTTTTTTTTTTTTTGTGTGTGTTTATATATCTCTATGTTCTACACAAACTATTATATTTAGTGGCAGATCCGACATTTCAAGGTATGAGTGCTCACTATTAGTTAGTGCTGGCAAATGATGGGAGGAGTTAAATTGATATAGACAGATTGAATATGTTTTAGATGACACGGATAAAAATTTTAAACCACTCATATTTGATACGATAAAACATAGATTGAATGACGAAATATATGAATATCCATATTTTCTTAAATATTATCATTATTGTGAGGATTCCAAACCATGATATAGGCCGTCAAATTTGGTGGTGGTAAACTGAATATATTTTCTTTTGTGCCACAAACTAAGTGAATTAAAGAAGAAGAAAAAAACGGCAAAGTTAAGAACAAAAGGGAAAGCCATGTAAAAGAGAGACGATAAAGAAAGTCAAAGAGTGTATTACGTAAGTAAAAATTGCACGGGGCACTCTATTTGGTCGTTCCCATTTAACCTATACCCCTATTTTTAAAATTATTTAACCTATACCCTAATTTTGACAAGTTCATACGCCTCCTCTTCTTCCTTCTGACCTATGCGCTCCTTTCTTTCTCCTTTTCTTTTCCTCCTCTTCTTCTTTTCTATCTCAAACACATGAGACTTCTTCTTCGATGATGAATGATAAAGGTAGTGATAAAGTAATTAGAGAAAATTAGAGAGCACCAACACTAGCAAAACAATTTGCAACAAATTGGTTCCTTGGCTGCTTGGTAGTCTAATGGGGATTTCATAAAGGCCGCTAGGTAAAATCCTGAACTTTAATTAAATTTATTTTTACAGTTTTACTTGTAACAGAATAATTTCTTCTTCCAATTTGTTCTCAATATCACTGATATGGAAATTTGTTGCCTGAAGTTTGTAACAGATGATTTTGTCCTGAAGTTTGCATTATAAATTGAAGAACTTCAGACTAATTTGTCTGAAGTTTCACTATGAAGTGATGTTTTCCCATTACCTTTGCAAGTTAGGCCAAACTTCAGGCGAAAATATTTTGAAGTTTTGCTTTAATAAGGCCACACTTCAGGCTAAAAATTCTCAAGTTCAAACTTCAGACATACACAATTGAACTGAAGTTTCCCCTTGCTATGAACCGAAGTTTGCCTGATTGCCTTTGCAAGTCAGGCCAAACTTCAGGAAAAAATATCTGAAGTTTTGCTTTGATAAGGCTACACTTCAAGCAAAAAATTCTGAAGTTCAAACTTCAGACATACACAATTGAATTGAAGTTTGCCCTTGCACTATGAACTGAAATTTGCGTGATTGCCTTTGTAAGTCAGGCCAAACTTTAGGAAAAAATATCTGAAGTTTTGCTTTGATAAGGCTACAGTTTAGGCAAAAAATATTTGAATTTCAAACTTCAGACATAAATTTTTGCTACTTCAGGCCCGTATGTCTGAAGTTACCCCGAAAATTGGGTACTCTTGCAATTTTTTGTGCAAAGCGGATATAAGTTAAATGGTGACCTAAAAACTGGGTATAGTGCAAATGCCCCATTACGTAAGAATTGAATTCTGGATCACGCAGAACGCACACTTAGATTCCACTAACCAGTAGCACCCACTAATCTGTTTGAGTAATGGATACTCACCAAAATATATATATCCATTTTATGTTAAATTATCTATTATATGTTCGATACCATAGACAATGAGTGTTTGAGTACCAAAATTCTCTATGTGGATCCGCCCATGATTATATTAGCTATAAGAAAAATTCATTAAAATAGTACAAATATGTTTTGTATTAATTTGAGTGAATTTCTCCGTGTTTTTTTTTTTTTTTTGGTGTGTGTGGGGGGAGTTGGTGAGAGAGAAATAGAACGATTATAATTGCAGAAGTAGGACTTTTCTACCAGTAATTGCTGGCAATAAAATGTGGTTGACATTGTTAAGTAACGTGCTATTTTAAAAATGACAATTGACTTTGACTACAATTGCGTTTTAGTAGCATTTCATTCCACCACCTATTCAGACAGCGAACTTAAAATAATTTTGTAACAAAATTGTTCTTCACCAGTTTGTGACAGAATTATACGTCACAAATTTTCTAAAAAAAATTTGCAGTTTATTATTAAAACTTAATATAATTTTCACCTTCTGAACATGCCTGAATCACTTATAGCTTGTTTGGATGGTTGTTACCCATATTATTATATCGTATTGTTATTTTAAATATAATGTTTGTTTTAATTGTTAGTTAAATTTTATTACTCGTATTGTTAAATCCGTCGTTACGTAACGACGATCACTTTATGAAACGACGGATTTGGTGTGGTGGCGTTGCTACGTTACTTTTTTCTCTCATCTTGCCCTTCCTTATTATTAAATAATCATATTATATTCTTTATCCTATTTTTTTATACAATAATTCTACTTGGTATCCTATTTTTTCTTGGTAATGTTGCAACATTATTCTTCGTATTGTTTATGCATGACTTCATGAAACAACGGTAAACGATATAGTCTATCCAAACGTTGTATTCACTAAACAATATAATACAACACAATACGATACAGTCAGAGGCGGATCTAGAATTTCTGGAGGATGAGTTCACCATTACTTTAAAAAAAAATTAAACAAAAAAATTGGTAGGGGATTCGATTCCCTGACCTTAAGGCTATTGGAAATAAGAGACTAAAACCAGTGCACCACTTCATCTCTTTTGACCATGGATTCTATTCCATCAAATATATATATATATATATATATATATATATATATATATATATATATATATATATATATATATATATATATATATTTATATTTGCTAAATTATGTACATCATATCTATATTTTAACCCAATAACCACGGGTTCACGTGAACTATTTTTTTGATTGTAGATCCGCCTCTGGATACAATACAGTACGATACGATACATTACAAGGCAACATGTAACAACCATCCAAACAAGCTGTGACACCAATGAAACTCTTTTCAGCTTATGTTTCTTACAAGTACCCAATATATCAAGCTCTCAAGACCACTGAAGCAGTTTTGAAAACACCACTTTAATCCATGCAACAAAGACATATATAGCCGCAGGGACGGTGTTAGCCCATCCGTTACGAGTTCGGTCGAACCCAGTAGATTTAGTCCAAATTATATATTTATTTTATGAAGTTCATTGAATATGTACTAATTATTGATTTAAAACCCAGTAACTTAAAATAATTAAAACTCCACACCTATAATATTCAAATTCTGGCTTCGCCTCCATATATAGGTTTAGCAATATTGCTAGTTTGCTGTCCCAAACTCACGGAGAAACCAAATAACAATTGCTCCCTCACTGAAGTGAAATGCATAACTAACATTTTAGTAACAATACACGATTAGGGCGGCAAGTCAAATTTTTTATTAAAGAAATATAAAAAAGTGAACACATAAAGAAATTAAAGGAATTCAACATTTATATTTATATGTATATTCAAAAATTGTCTAAGTTGGACATCAAGGGTGTCGGCAAGTGATCAATGAAGTTATATATCACAGTTTAAAATCTCAATATGGACAAAAATATTTAAGTAATTTCTTTTTGTCTACCTAAATCACGGCGAGTAAATTTATCTCATACTTGTATTGATAGGAGATAGCATAAATATCCGGCAAATAATATAATATTACATTTGACTATTAGCAATTGCAAATTAGAAAGTGGAAACTGGAACAGTTATTGCACTTTGCGCCCAAATATTTTGTTGGCAACACGTCTATATGTTCAACGGCAGCACGTGGCTACACGCGCCGACTCCGTTTTGTGGTATTTCCGGCCCCATCCTTCATCCAACGCCGTCAAAACTCGCCGGCGGTGACTTCTCGATGTCCTCTTCCGCCCGAATCGCCGTCGTCGGCGACGTCGTAAGTATTTTCATTTGCTACTGAAGTCTTAATTTCTTACTTTCTTTTTTTCTTTTTTATATTTTTATAATTTGAATTATGTTGCTTTTTCTTTCATTTTTATTTTTTGTAATTTGAATTGATTTAGTTTCCTTTTTATGGAAATGTTGAAAATTGCGAAGCATGATGATTGGAACCTAGAAGAAGATAGGAAGGCTCTTCAATTCTTGAAGGTATTTAGCATCTTTATTTTGTTTAATTTAATTAATTTCTCTCTACGTCCCAATATATACGATAATGTTAGACTAAGCTCTAAATATTTGTGTGGAAATAAATCATCTCATTAAGGTTAAAATGAAAAGTTTAAAGTTAAATTGTTTCAAATAAGGAAGCACATTCCTTTTGGGACAGACTAAAAAAGAATGTGTACCACATAAGTTGAGATGGAGGGAGTAATTTATTCTGTTTTCTGATAAAAAGTTCTTTTTGTGCTAGGATAGTTGAGGTATTGCTTATTGTGAGTATGCTAATTTCTAGAACGCATAAAGCGTATATCTGTAGTTTACAAATAATACAGCCAAAGTAACAGAAATTGGTTGAACAAATTTTAGTATTTCGAGCTGACTTTGTATTGAGTTTGGTTCTACTAGCTGTCAAAAAGGTGCACAAGCGAAGCTCTAGAGTTTGGTTTATCATCTCAATGAAAGCTCTCTGAATTGAATTGGTTAACTAAAGGAAGCCAAACTTGCCTTTATTTGAATCTCTTGACTACCAATTGTTATTACTGTTAACGTGTCGCACCAAGTATCGTAGTATGCATTAAAAATTCTTGGTATGGACGTGATGATGTCTTTTCGTAAACCCTTGTTTCGTGGACTCTTTGTCATGCTAAACTTGCCACTACATTAAAACATTTCCTGTGTAGATGTTGCGCGAGAGGACGGATAATGACAAATAATAAAGTTTTACTTGTCTTGCTTTTGCATCTTCTTTTCCTCTTGCTCTTTGTCTCTCCAAACTCAACCATATTTGTATGTTGGTGTGTAACGCATGATTTGTTGGCTAACTCTATCCCATTCTGCTCTCCAATTAAGGTTACTAATTGGAAGGAAACGAAAATTATCATGACTAACAAAAAAATCGTATATAGCAAAAATAATTTGATCATAGTTGTGGAAATTTTCTTGATACTTTATTCCTTTCACCAATGAATAATTTAGCAATTGAAGCTAACTTTCTCCTCTGAGCAGTGCATATTCTTTGGATATGACTTATTCAACACACGTAATTGCACTTAGGTCTTGAGAAACCAAGATCTGTGTGTTGCTTCAGAGTTCCTAACAACAGTTCCTCTCCATTCTGCTTTCCCGACATCAAAATACATGATCTTACCTGCTTTGGTATCTTATTAGCTACTGCATGCTTAAAAGTTCTAGCTGTGCCTTTAGAGTAGTTTTAATGGAATGATTATCTGTTACTTATCACACAAATGGTGTTGGCATACGACATAATCATGAGAGATCGTGCAGTGCAAGCTTCATTATCCAAAATTAATTCTAGAAACCAGACTTCTGGGAGGATCCCTAGTTTTCCAACTTTTTCTTTCTTTTTATGGGACAATGGGAACTTTCTGTGGAGAAATCTTTTTACTTTTTTCTTGTGTTAAACATCTTTTGGTATTTTCGTATCCTTCTGTCAGCTAATGATATTTTTTATGGGAAATTGCAGCCTGATTTGGTGCTCTTCACAGGCATGTTTTCTTGTTATCTCCCACCTATTTATCCACAATGCATGCGACATAGTTATTGTATTCTTTCAACTACTATTTTCATTCACCAGCCAAGTGAGATGGGAAAAATTATTAGTTCACTTCATTGTCCTTGATTCAGGGGATTTTGGGAATGAAAACGTGGATCTTGTCCGAAGCATTGCAGATTTGGAGATGACTAAAGCTGTTATTCTGGGGAACCATGATGCATGGAATACTCAAAAATTTTCTGGAAGGCATGTCCAATTCCATTTTATCCGACTTACACATATTTCCTCTAAATTGATTAGCCTGGTTTTTGTTTACACATACCTGTTTATATATGCTAACACTTTACTTTTTATGCTACACCTGATCTTTTTTGCTTTTGTAGAGTATTGTAATTGGATTTATCTTCTTCTCGCTCCTTCAAATGTGGTTCAGGCATAGTATATATTGGATATTTTTCATTTTCTTCCTGATTTATTCCTAAAATAGTTTATCGTACCTTGTTTTGCTGGCCAAGCTCAACTTGTCAATGCAGCTTGAAGAATTACTACCAGGATTTCTAAGTATCAGATTGTCATGTGGAGTTACATTCTGGTATCATTATGAAGGTTCTAATCAATCATGATATCTGAATTCATTTTCTTGAAACCAAAATCAAAATTCTATTAAAGTTCTTTGACCATCCACATGGTTGAGTTTAAACCTGATGGATTCATTTTACGGGAAAAACACATGTTCTTATTCATATCCATTATTTTTTGAAATTCAAACTCTTGTAGATATGGTGGCGTTTGATGATTGTCGGATTATTGTTATGGCTTCATAACAGTAGTGATTGGTAATGATGAATGGGGTACAATAATAGTAATTGGTAGAAGGATAAATTAGCATTGGCTTTGGTGGTAGAGCCTGTGAAAATGATTAATGAATTTAGAGGACGTTCTCCTCAAAAACATATCTATCCTAGAAACTTCGAGCACAATTTAGACAACATAATGACTTGAAAATATGAAATATCAGAAGGACCCGAGATATTGTTATATTCAATTTTTTCCTGTGCACTGAGTTGCATGTCTCATTGGCGTATTTTTTTTTAAGTTTGAGATGCTCTACCTCTCAGGTTCTGTTTGCTAAATTGTTAATGTCATCTACTTGTTCTTTTTTCTTAGTATGTGCCTTCCAATTTGTAGGGAAAAAGATGCTGTTCAACTTCAGCTGGAATGGTAAGTTTTTCGAGTTATATAAGAATTTACTCTCGATTAATTTATCTATATATCAAATAGCACAGCTATGTGTTTATTTTCTATGTTTACGACTGTCAGTTTCTCACTCTAGTATGACTTTCCATCTTGTGTTTCTCACAATCTCTCACCCCTCTGTCTCTGAAGAATGGGAAGATATTTGATAAAATAGGTTGCAAGATAGAAATAAATAGCCAGGATTCAGAAAGGTCCTCGCGGTACATCCACTGGTGGTTGGCACTATTTATATCAGGCACATGTACCAAGTAGGTTATGGGAAACAAAAAGTCATACGACAGGAACACGTGTATATCTGCAACAATCTGGAGAATATTTGCTGTTAAAAGAAAGCATAGCAATATAAACATAAAGAAGGCATCTCCTTTTGCAGGGAAATGTAGGTATTAATAGGTGCCACAAGCATAAATCTCCAAAATGCTGGCACTTCAAAAGTTTTACTTAAAGTTGGGAAATTATAAATTTAATTTCCAGAAGTAATATGAACTAAGTTCTAAAACTTAATTTTTCCACATTAATCTTTCTTGGCACAAGGAGCGGTGGCTGATTCAAACCCCTTGCCCAGTGAAAAGATTGATTCTGAGACTCTGGCTCATGTTGCAAAGATTTCTATTAAAATTCAACTGTCTGCATATGCATGTTTTTGATAGTTCAATTTTTTGGTGATTTTGTCTTGTCAAGTATCTAAGGTATCAACTATTAAACTTTCCTGTATAAAATTTTACCTATTATTGTAATTGAGGGGGGAAAGAAGATTATGATTGAGTCTATGTCAGGTCATAACCTAAGGGAATCATGATACAACAATGGTACATATCCACATTCTCGAGGACAATTTTTTCACTCACTTTTCCTATATCTACTGCTATCTGCTGATATGACGAGCTGAATAGCAGAAAAATGAGTTGGACACCCAAGTCCTTAATAACAGCGGGTTTCTGTCTTCACCTTTTCATTTACTGGACCTCACATTTCACACTATCTATTTTTTAGCCTGTCTTATATGGTAAAAGGACAAAAGGCCTATATTGTGAAAGTTATCTTATTGGCGTACTGACAGCTTGTAATGGTCAGTCTTGGCGATGAGCATGTTGGTTACCGTCGAATGGATCTCCCTATGCTTAAACTCAGTGTTGTTGGTGGGCGGCCTTTTTCTTGTGGTGGTAGGCCCTTATTTCGGAAACAGCTTCTGAAAGCCAGGTTTGTGGTCCTAATCTCTTTGTTTGTTAGTTATTTCCTCTTAAATGCACATTGTAACTTTGTCTATAATTGGTGAGTGTTGCTTAGCCCGAGTATCTGAACATGTTTAGCATTGTCTGTTAATTTGATAGAACTAAAATTTCCGGAACTTACAATATGAAGTTTCTGATGCATTCTGCACTTGAGCGTGTAAAAGTGTGACTCTCCGATGTAGACATTGACTCTTTATAATCTTACAAATTTACATGCCTAATTCACAAGTTTTATCTTAGATTGTGACTTGCAACTTTACTGTATCGAATTACCTTTTTAGGTATGGAGTCCATGATATGGATAAGAGCGCTGAGAGAATCTTACAAGCTGCCATGGGCACTCCAGAGGATCATTCAATTATATTTCTTGCTCATAATGGTCCCACTGGTATATTAGCTTGATTTTGTAGAGGTACTTCTACCTGTTGCTGGAAATTTTGAGGTTTTAAGAGTAGGGCAATGCAGGGCTAGGCGCTAAAATAGATGACATCTGCGGAAGAGACTGGTTTATTGGAGGCGGCGACCATGGTGATCCAGGTAATAATTATTACTCCCGCAGTCGCAATGTTTGTGGCGGTGTTCGGATTTCTAGAGTAAAACAAATTTTTCTTTGACCGCGAGTTTTTCGTATGCCTTTTAATTATTGTGACTTTATAGTACTTTGTCTGAATTCACGATCAAAATTAAGAAGTATGAATATCGAAATCCGAGCTGTTCCACATAAATAGGGACAAGGAGTAATTGATATCTTTGTTTATGAAGTCCTTCAATGGTATAACCCATTTATCCTGATGAGAGCAGTATATCCAAATCTTGATTAATCAAATCTGCTCAACTTCAAAACAGGTTGTTTCATGTTTTTGTTTCATCAGCATATGATCGTTACATTTTGTGCAGATCTAGCGCAGGCCTTGGCCCAATTAAAAGAGGCTGCTCCATATTCGGTCCCATTGGTCATTTTCGGTCACATGCATAAACAACTTGCTTTAGGAAATGGCTATCGTAAAATGATAGTGGTTGGAAATGATAGTACCATATACTTGAATGGAGCTATTGTTCCCCGGGTAAGACCCCCAGCTTTGACAGCTGAATCCGAAGGCACATCGCGAGCTTTCACCATCGCAGAAATTTCAAACGGAAGAGTGGAGAAAATAGCAGAAAATTGGATTTCTGTCATCGGAGACAAAACAAGATTAGAGGAGGAACATATACTGTTTAATACTCCAAGCAGAGGTTCTGTCACTGCCTCTCCTTTGTAGATGAACAACACAGTGTGAATACGTATACGAATGAATTCGTACATGATCATCATTTTGTTTGGCGTGTGTATAATGCAAACTTGATCCCGGCCACCATGTGCAGTCCAGAATACTAATCTGATTGCTTCTCTGGAAAGGAAAGCTTCATGTGATCATTTGCTATTCAAAAGTCACTTTATATGTACTGTCTTGAAGCTTACATTTTGTGCCATGATAAACACAATATCACACTATCACGTTGCGCGCTTCTGTCCAACAAACTCTGTAGCTGGAGGAGAGGGAGACGTTGACACACTACCCTCGACGAAGAGCATTGGGTTGTTGCAGGTCGGATTTTATTTTAAATTTTGTTATGAACTGTTTATAATGCTACATCAGCTTTTGGTAGCCAGAACTTGGACAAATCCGGCCAAGGGACTCTTGGTGTGATATGTGTATAGAAAAGTGACTTTTGTGTTACAAAATAAAAATGACTTCACTATATAATTTTCAATAGTTGAGTGTCCGTTTGAGCAATGAACTCTACACTTTCTCCAGCAACTATTTCCTTCTCATTGAGGAGCTTGTACTTGTGTGTAATAATGCTACCAAATATACCATAAGCGTAATGGTATATTAAGTTGAAATTTGATGTGAAAAATAAAGTTAAATTTAACTACTATGGCAAAGTTGGTGAGGCTCCTATCCAAATTGCTTATAAATTCTCTAATATGAAGGTGTTTTTCTGAAGAAATTGATATCTAGCATATTGTTACATCCATTCTGAAAAGATTAACTCCTGCTTACAAGAGTTTATTTCAATTTTAAGAATATAATACGATAATAGAATTCTGCAATGCCAATGCACACGCAATTACATTTTGAACTTTTGAACCCAAAAAAAGAAGAAAAAAAAGAAAAAAGAAAACTTATAAGCTAAAAAGTCTTTCAAACGGACTTATTGAGTTGATATTGATAGCAAGTGACGGATTGTTGTTAAGATCACAATATTACAAAATCTTCCTTATTCTTAAACTATGTGACTAGTCAAACTAAGACAAAAAATTAAAACAAAAAAGAGTGAAGTAAACCTTGAATGCCCTACTAATTGCTAGAATACAACTGCATTAGACAAGGCATTGCTTGTTGTAGACTAAAAAAGTCCTATACCAATATGGGTCATGGTGGGATGGATAGGATCTCCCCACCTTTAATCAGAGGTCTCGAGTTCGAGCTGAGGATATGAAAAAAACAGAAGTAGCGTTTTTTCAAATGAGCTTGACACAACACAAATCCGAATATCATCGAACTCCAATACGAGACCAGACACTGGATGGTAAATCCAACCCCAAAAAAGTCCTACAATCTTTAACTGCAAGAAGAATGAAAAACAAAAACTATAAGTTGATCTATGGAAGACTCAATTCTCATTTCCCAAGACTTAATAAGCTAGTAAATATTAAAATTAAAAGATAAAAGAAAGGTAAAAATGATGACCCTTTACCTAGATTTCTTCAAAAAGTGAAGTGAAAATAGTAAACATAACTAATCTAAAGTTGTAAACATTATGCTTCTGTTGACTCATTCTTTTCATAAATTAAAACACTTGAGGACAGACAGAGACCCCTTTAAAAGCTCAATCCCACTTTAGCTTTTATAGTTTAGTGCACCAAATTCTAAGCATTCTAATGAGGCTTTTTTGACCCAATTCTTTTCCTTTAAACTAAAGCTTCCTCTTTTTAAAGTTTTGAGGAAAGAAATAAAATAATTGTAACTTTAGTTTAGTACTGTCTTGGAGCAACGGTAAAGTTATTTTCGTGTGACCTATAGTTTCGGGTTCGAGCCATGAAAGTCACTACTAATGCTTGTATTAGGATAGACTGACTACATCACACCCTTTGAAAAATAGTTGTTCTCCGACCCTACATCAAAGCGGGATACTTTATGCACCGGTTTGCCCTTTAGTTAGTTTAGTACTATCCACATCTTTGTTTTCTATATTTATTGGGGTGTGTTTATGGCTTACTAAAAAAAATATGTGTACAATCAGTCACTGATGATGGCTTCTTCATTTGCAGTCAACATTTCCGCTGCAGCGGTGGATTTACCGCGGTCAGCGGTGAGGGAATCCGGAAGGTGCATTATAAATACGAGATTCGGAGTCGGAATTAAGTGAAACTAGTATGGGAACTCTCATAATTGAATGGGTTATCGGATTTTGAGACTTTGGTCGGATTCCGAGACGTTGGCCCGGGGGGCGTTTTGGTCATTTTTCCTAATTTCACGTGTTAGCTTCGAATTAATTAGTTGTATTAACTACTTGAAGTTATGTTTATGCTATGCAATTACTTTGAATAGATTTGGGCCATTTGGAGTCGGATACTCGTGGCAAGAACATGGTATGGATTTGATTGAGCTGGTTCGAGGTAAGTGGCTTGTCTAACCTTGTGNTGATGGCTTCTTCATTGCCAACCAACTTAACAAACCTACCCCCCCCCCCCCCCCCCCACCCCACACACACACGACACAAAAAAGGTTAGGTTGACCATGTAACAGATTAGCTTATGTAATGATGCAACATTTAATTGATACTAAAAGTAGGTTAGATTTTCCACCTCACAGTAACATGGTAGGCTTAATTTAAGAATGAGATCCTATAACAAAATCTTTTTATTGTATAATTTATGTATCATAACATAAATAATTATAAACCCAAAATAAAAAGAATGTTAACAGTAGCTGCCGAGTGTAGGAAACAGGAAAAATTTATACACATCCGATGTTTATATCATACAAATAAATAGATATATATGTCATATATCTTTTATCACTAATCATGAATTAATGTGTGTGTGTGAAATCATCTCAATTTATCGCTTAAAACATAGTCAACTAACATGACTTAGAATCATCTCAATTTATCGCTTAAAACATAGTCAACTATTAATCATCTCAATTCATGGAATCATGACGATGACGACGACGACAACAAATTCAGTGTAATCCTACAAGTAAAATTTGGGAAAGGTGGTGTGCACGCAGATCTTACCCCTGACGAGTGTTAGGTGAAAACCTGATGTAAATTCAAATTAGTTGGGGCTCCAAAACATGCACTAAATATCAGATAGGAAACAAAAAAAGTTATTAAGTTACAATTTAAGTTGTGACATCTTACTCATTATAAATAGTGTCCTTGGATTAGACATATGAGTCTAACGAGTCAAAAAGTAAAGTTTGATTATTTCTTTTAATTTTTTACTCTTGGCATGCAAAGTGCAGCTAAAATTTCCCCCAGATTATTTCTCAACTGTCATGATATGCAACTTCTTCAAAAGGAATGTCTTCAACATATATAAAGAAAATCATGAAAGGGAAGAGTGAGTGAGTGGTAACTATCACTACTCACAAGCCATTTTTCATCTCTGTCATTGATTTAGACAATGGCACAGTAGTCTTCAAATTCAAGATCATGTCGCTCGACGTGATTAAGCTCATCATATGCTAATATCAAACAAAAATAAAAATAAAAATTACTAGAAGTTCTCTTGTAATGACCCAAAGGGTCATCTTATGTTTTAGAACTCGACTCCGTGTTCCGAGATCTTCAAAACTTCATTTTATTCCTCCTCGATTTGCGTGCACAGTCCGATCGTGTATCCGGAAAGCTTTTATGTGGAAAATTGATGAAATAATAATTTTTGGCCTAAAAAATTGATTTTTAGTTGACTTCGGTCAACATTTTGAGTAAACGGATCCGGAACCATTTTTTGACGATCTCGGTGGCTCCGTAGTAAAATATGGGACCTGGGCATATGCCCGGAATCGGATTCGAAGGTCCCAAGCCCGAGTAAAGAATTTTTGATGAAAATTATAAGACAGAAAATCTAATGATTTAAAGGAATTGAGTAATGTTTGGTCTCGTTGGTATCGGGCCCGTAGTTTAGTTCCGGAGCCCGATACAGGTTTAATATACTATTTAAGTCATGGCTGTGAAATTTGGTGAGAAACGGAACTGATTTGACGTAATTCGGACCATCGGTTGAGAAAATAGAAGTTTTGAAACTTTTTTGAAAATTTCATGCAATTCGGTGCTAAATTCGTAGTTCTAGGTGTTATTTTGGCGATTTGATCGCACGAGCAAGTTGGTATGATGTTTTAAGACTTGGGTGCATATTTGGTTTGGAGCCCCGAGGGCTCGGGTAAGTATCGGATTGGCTACGGAGTGATTTGGAACTTAGAAAATGTCACGACCCGGATTTCCTTACCCTCGGGAGTCGTGATGGCGCCTACTATTAGGAGCTAGGCAAGCCAATTATTTATTACGTCTTTTAGCAAACCTCGACATTAATAAAACAACGAAACATTTAATAGAAAAGCGGAAGTCCTAAATATAAATAAATTGATAGCAACGCGGAAGTTCAATACAATTCTACCCAAGAACTGGAGTCACAAACTCACGAACGTCTAGAAAATGCTAAATACAATGTCTGAATAAAAACATAATTATGTTTGTTCCGGTACAAGGGATAACAAACTAAAGTAAAGATAGAAAAGACTCCGGGCCATGCGGACGCCAGCAAGGCTACCTCGGGATCTCTGGACTGAAGTCAGCTCCCAAAACTCCTACTGCTGTCCAAAAGCTGCTCCGGCACCGTGATCTGTGCAAAAAGATGCACAGAGTGTAGCATCAGCACAACCGACCTCATGTGCTGGTAAGTGCCTGGCCTAACCCCGGCGAAGTAGTGACGAGGCTAGACCGGACTACCAACAAACCTGTGCAGTTCAATATATATGTATGCAATATAAAGGTATACAGAAATTAACCAGTCAAGGGGGAGGGGGAGCATGTTGTAAGGGCTGTAACAGTTCAGGTATAAAATCAATAATTGAGGAATGAAACAGTACAACTACAATAGCAACGATAGTAGGAAATCAACAGTTGCACGGCACCATCCTTCGTGCTTTTACTCTCATTCTCACCCCAAACAATCATATAAAGTGCATGGCATCACCCTTCGTGCGTTACCTCACAAAATGATGGCACGGAATGACCCTTCGTGCATAAACACTCATATCATGGCACGGAATGTTCCTTCGTGCATTAGTAATCAAATCAGGGCACGGAATGTTCCTTCGTGCATTAGTGTTCATATCATAATCGTGCACGGCATCACCCTTCGTGCTTTATCACTCGTCCTCACCCAAACAACAATCACAAACAATGGGGCGAGGGGATAGACAAACAGTAATAGAAGTCCCGGCAAGGGAAACACAAGTAAACAATTAAATCCCGGCAAGGGAACAACAATAATAACTTTCACATCCCGGCAAGGGAGGTAATCAATACACGAGTACAGCCCGACAAGGGAATAATCACATTTCTTTCTCTTTCTTTCTTTTCTTACTCAATAATTACTTTATCATTCGAGCCAACGCTCCAAAGAGTTCACGAATCATAATTCTTTCTCATACTCTTCACATTATATAGAGTTCATCAATTACACGAGGAAGAGTCA